ACTGTTATGAAGTGGTGGCTGCGCAGTGGTTAGAGCTGTTGCCTTGTAGCAAGAAGGTCCTGGGTTCGCTTCCCGGCCTGGGATCTTTCTGCATGGAGTTTGCATGTTCTCCCTGTGCATGCGTGGGTTCTCTCCGGGTACTCCGGCTTCCTCCCACAGTCCAAAAACATGACTGTTAGGTTGATTGGTCTGTCTAAATTGTCCTTAGGTGTGTGTGTGTGTGTGTGTGTGTGTGTGTGTGTGTGTGTGTGTGTGTGTGTGTGTGTGTGTGTGTGTGTGTGTGTGTGTGTGTGTGTGTGTGTGCATGACTGTTTGTCCTGTGTGTCTCTGTGTTGCCCTGCGATGGACTGGCTCTCTGTCCAGGGCGGACCCCGCCTGATTGCCCGTTGACCGCTGGAGATAGGAAACTGATAAGACCGGAGTTTTGAGACAAGAACACAGCCTAGTGAACTAGACCAAGTTCTTGCTTTGCAAAGTTTGGTCTAGGAACGCTCCACTAGAACCTCTGCAGCCCCTAACAGCATTCTGGCTGGCCAATCACAGCTCTCTAGAGGGGTTTCAAACACACAAAGAGCTGTGATTGGTCCATAATGGTGGGCCAATCATAGTGCTCTATCTGCTCAGTGAACAAATCACAGAGCTTTATCCGCTTTGTGGGCCAATCAGGGCACTCTATATGCCTGGTGGGTGGGATGATGCAACAGAGTGAAACAAGATGGTGACAGCTCGTTTGAAACGGCTTTCACATCAATTTTGGACTATTAGAACTTGGGCTTCATTAGAATCAGGGGCACATAAATGTATTTAAGTGCTTTTTTTAAAGAAAAAATTACGTGTTTTCTCCTTCAACTGCGGACCGCCTCATTTACCGATGGCTGTGGCAGTGAGTATGTCACATTCATTGTCCAGTAGCATGCGGAGATCATTTGAAAGACAACGGTAGAACCCGCCCCACAACCGAGAGCCGTCAATGGAGCGTTGCCAAACTAAATAATACATTTATCTAGTCTGGCTTGCCAGGCTAACAAGAAAATGTATTGGATGTGGAAAAATCCAGTTTGGTTTTGGACGAAATCAGACGAGCCGTTAGCTTATCAGTCCTGTACTATGTAAACTATTTCTCCAAACTGAGGTTGTTCAGGAAGCTTTACGGGGGGTAAATTTTAAATATTCATCCTTGTTACACAGAAATACATTTAAAAAAGATAAATGACCTAAAGCCTCCTTTAAGACGTGCAGCTGTTCACACACGAGGTGTTTCAGAAGGTTCAAGACAACAAGTTAAAAGGTGACCAGCAAGGATCCATCCATCCATCTTCTGAACCCACTTTGTCCACGTGGGGTCGCGGGGGGTGGGGGGCTGGTGCCCATCTCCAGCAGTCAATGGGCAATCAGGCGGGGGTACACCCTGGACAGAGAGCCAGTCCATCGCAGGGCAACACAGAAACACACAGGACAAACAATCATGCACACACACACACCTAAGGACAATTTAGACAGGCCAGTTAACCTAACAGTCATGTTTTTGGACTGTGGGAGGAAGCCGGAGTACCCGGAGAGAACCCACACATGCACAGGGAGAACATGCAAACTCCATGCAGAAAGATCCCAGGCCGGGAAGCAAACCCAGGACCTTCTCGCTGCAAGGCAACAGCTCTAACCACTGCGCCACTGCGCAGTCCGCAAGGAGCGTCATGTTCGTTAACCTCACTGCTGGACCTTGAGAAAGTTGAAGTTGCATGATTTGGGAATTCTTCAGATCGCCAGATAACATCCTGACACCCACATCAGCTGTTCTATCTGCAAAGACATAGATCTTCCAGAAGCTCCTCAGGATTGCGCTCAATTACATCTACCTTTTACTCAAGGTCTAGTGTGGTCTCCAACTCGCAGAACTTTATTTGTTTTAACTTGAGAATAACTTTGAAAACCTTTTACAGCAAATATGTCAACGTGTTATTATTCTGAAGGCTGAAAAATATTTCATAGAGTTGGTTTCTCTACCAACACTGACATTTGTCTTCTTACGTAAGACAACAGAGACATCTGGGACTTCTCTTTTCAGCTGAGATGAGACACTCAAACCGAAATCAGACGCCGTAACCGCAGCGTGACTCCGACAAGAGCTTTTTTGCAACACTGCTTTTTGAAAGTGTGTGAGTTGATTATTTAAAAACAATGTTGTGAAAGATCAAATCACTGGAATGTGGTGTGATCTAAGCAAAGTGTTATTTTTGTTACGTTCACTTGTGTGAAAATAACTGTTGAAATGGAACAAAGCGTGCGTGGCGAGGGTTTCGTTAGCCAATGTGGGTTACAACACTTCTTCTTAAAGGAACAAAGCAGCGACTACGTTTACACACTTTTAAAATTCCTTTTAAAGTTTATTCAAAGAAAAAAATACAAGACTTCCTGTCATACACAGAGAGGACATAAGTTAGAGAAGCAAGGCAGAAACAGAGGGCCGCCTCACACCCAAGCCTGCAGGGAACATCACTGAGATGTCTCCGTGGTCACGTAGCTTCGCGAGAGCAACACGCGTGTTTTTATTGTTTTATGTGAAGATGTATGAGTCAGATCGGGGGGTGACTAAAAATAAATATCTGATGAATCCCAGGCTCAAAAAGCAGAAACATAGTGGAAGATGCTTTAAACATAAATATGGTGATGCACATTAGTGTAACAAAACATGGCCTCTGTAAACATTTTCCACCTAAGGTGAGAGTAATAATATTAAACCACCGCAGTCACATATTTACGTGTACATAGACTTAGGGAAACAACAAAAACTATCGTTAAGCTTCTCAACTAGATCTAAAACTGAAGAATACACAATGCTTCAAGTTCTTTTCTTTTTTTTTTTTTACTTTTTAAAAAGAATTTCCATTAAGTGGTTTCCATAGCAACAAGTTTACACGCCTTAAACGCTGCCCTCTTGGCACTTTTTCCAACTTTAGCCTGCAGGTGGCTTTAGCCCACAACAAATCACCTCATTGGTCATCGAGCCCATTAGCAATATTTATAATAAGCACAATTCTGCCACAAAGTCGGAGCAGCCGCTCATCGAGGTCTGGGTGCAGTCAGGGACACACGGTGGGCGCTGCTGCATGCAGACCTCGGCCGCTCCCGACCAGGTGACACAAACGTGTTGAAGCATTGAAGCACTGCTCGTGTGTGTGTGTGACAAATAAAAATAAAACACCCTCAAGGTGAACTGGTTTGATGGAAATCGTGTTTGGGCATGAAGTCGGAGGGCTCTCCTTTGCCCCCAGCCCTGAATGAAAAGTCCGTGGAAGCAGGAAAATCCAGCTCAGCTGTTCAGGTTCATCCCGAACAGCCAGGTGAGGAAAACCTCTGCTCCGTGTTTGGAAACACTTCATCACAGAAATACTGGAGTCCAGGGTGTGGCGCTTAAATCAACAAACAAAAATAAGAGTAAAGCTTCTGCAGGACTCTGAAGGTGACAGGGAAAGCTCCTCGGCTCCGAAACACTTATAATGTTTTCTGCTGCGGTTGCAGAAGAAGGAAAGTATCTACACCTGATGCAGAGACTGCAGCTTTTAATCATCTTCACTGGAAAAACGGAACAACTAGGATTGATCTCTTGTGACGAGAAACATAGCAAAACATCTCATGCCTTGGACCACCACACAGTAATGAGTTTGCCTACATTCTGGACACCTAGTGCAGTAGTTACATACTGATGACGAAAAAGAAAGCTAGATGAGGTGAAAGAAGGAAAAATGGAAGAAAGAAGCCTGCCTCCTGCTCCGAAACCTGCTGACCGTGCATTTACCTCTCTCCAACCACACACTCACACATGCTAAACTCTCTCGCTCTACATCTTCTACTCCTTTATCACATTTTTCCAGCTCAAGTATTTCCCAGAGTCATCATAGGCGACAGCTGAAGGAAACGAAAGCTTAAATGAACTTTACTGTACACGGACACGTTGGGTTTGGCCAAGTTGCTTTCTTTACACGTCTGGTTTTAGATTATAAGCGAGCAAAGTGTGCATTGTTGTTGGAAATGTTAAAAAAATTAAATATAATCTGCGTCATCACACATTACCTTCAAGGAATAACGATTGATCAAAAAATACTAGTTTTTAAGTTTCTGTTGCATCCTGTTTTTTAAAGCACCGGTCTGCATTTTGCCTCATGCTTCAACCATTCACCCCTCCCTGCTTAGTCCTTTTGTTCCTCAGACACCATCTACCCCCCAAAAGCCACAGCCTTTTACACGACTGCAGCGCTGGAAAACAGGCAGAGCTGAGCTCCTGTAAAGAAGTGGTAATAATACTAGTGCGAGCAGTGCTAGTAGCAGACAGACTCCGAAAAGCTCATGACAACAGAAACTTTGCAGAAGTGGAAAACCAAGCACCGAGAAAACCAAACGTTTGCCCTCTTACCTCGAATTCACATTTGATCTCACCCTGCTCTGTTTTAAACACAAACCACTGATTTAATTTAGACATAATCATCTTTTCAGGTTTTCAGAGGGGTACGACGTGACCGGGAGTCACTGAGTCGGTCCACAGCGCGGTGGCAGCAGCTCGGCAGGCTGACCCGTCGGTGGCCTCAAGGGGCCGTGGGGCTTGTTTGTTCTCCTGTAGGTTGTCCGAGGGTTGACAGAACATCGGTGGTGAGTTCTGAGATCCAGTGTTTGCCAGGGGGGGGGGGGGGGGGGGGGGGCAATGAGAAGGACGATGAGGTGGAGGAACTAGGCAGGACGAGGAGCTCTACCAACTGAGCAGGTTGCTTCGGCCCAAAGTCATGAAGTAAACCTGGCTGGAGCCCCCGGCTCGAACAGAAGCAAAGAACACCTGCAGACGAGACAGACATGGAACTGGGGATTTAAACTAGAAGACCATCTATAATCACAGCGCTTTGTGATTTATATCTGTGAAAGGCGCTATATAAATAAACTTTTACTTACTTACTTACTATAATAATTACTAATAATGTGCTAAAAATGTTAATGCTAATAATGAGATAAAAACCTCTGGATGAGCTGCACGAGTTAAAACCCACAGAGCGTGTGCTTTTAACAGGAAGTAACGTCCAGAAAACAGAGAAGAGAAACTTGAGAAATCTGAGCTTACTTCTGCTGCTGAACCAACACAAACTTCACTTTTCCTGTTTTACATGGAAGGTTTTTGTCCAGTGTTGGTGGTCAGACACTGTTAGTGAGGATGTTCCTCCAAATCTACATATTTTTGGGGTGTTAGGGTTTGATTTTTCTCATATAAACTAGTAATGTAAGAAAATATTGATATAGCAATATATCGCTATATTTTTTCCCGCGATATTATATCGATGTTCAAAAGCTGTGTATCGATTTTTTTGGGAGAATTTACGTGCAAACATTTGTTTATTTTCTTTTTTTTTTTTTTGGTGCAAATCAAATGCTGTCCACTAGTCACCAGTAGTGTGCAATGGAGTTTGTTTCCACCACTGAAATGTAAATCCCTCTATTATGGTTCAGATACCCCATGTTAATCATGTTAAGTATCAGTTTGGACCATTTATTGAATTTTCCTACAATCATTTTAGTCAAAAAAATCGCTAATATCGTCCGACTGAATGTATCGCAATATAACGTGATGTATCGTATCGTCTCCTCTGTATCGTGATAAGTATCGTATCACCAGAATTTCACCAATACACATCCCTAATATAAACTCTCCTTCATTTTAGAACAGAAGCAAATGCTAAAAACCACACAGGTTGTGAAGAAAATTCCAGATTCATTATTATTACATTCGCATAGTAAAACATCTTTTAACATCTGACATAGAGCTGCACGTTCAACATCGCAAAGTACATGTGTGCAATGGTTACATCGCAGGTCCTGCTGCGTAAAGGAAGTCAACGTAGTCTCATCTAACATTAGGAGTTCCTGACACAGCGACCCACCAATCACAGTCCTTCTTATTCAGTTTGCCAAACCAGACCGCTAGCGGCTGGGCTTCGTAATAAAATGTGTGCGATACGGTCAATACCGCGCAGGGGTGCCCAATCCTGGTCCTGGAGGGCCAGTACCCAGCAGGTTTTGTGGTTTTTCTGCTCCAACAGACTTGATTCAGTGGTTGGAACACCTGCGCAGCAGCTCATCAGGCTGTTAATTAGCTGCTGATTGAAATCAGGTGCGTTGAAACAGAGTTCAAACTAAAACATGCAGGATACCAGCCCTCCAGGACCAGGATTGAGCACCCCTGCCAGAGGATCTTTTTCCTCCGGGTGGATTATCTGAACCACTGGCCCGCATTACTGTCAATCACTCTGGGGAAGCTTTCACGCAAGGCCGTCGTCGTACGTGCTCGTTCCTGGGTTGGTGTTTTTCTTCCTGCATACTCTGTTTATGTGTAGAGCAACGCTCCTTCCTTCCTCACCGTTCTCACCGGGTTATTTTGAAAATGGCTGAGAGTTGCAAGAGAAAAAGTGTCATGAAAGTTTATGATAAGAAAAAAAGGCCTTCAAAGTGAGAAATAAGACTAGAGATTTCAGGAGACTCTTTTCAATGGTGGCGTGCGCTGAAAGCGAAGGTTGGGCTCCCCGCAGACGCCTCTGTTGCTGGTGTTCTGCTCGACAGGTAAGCTAAAGTTCGGCATGCTATGTGGAGAAATTAATTTCAGATTACTGCTAGAAAAAGTGCTGCAAGGCCGGCAGCTACTTGTAAACAGAGCGTGCACGAGAATAACTGGGCGTTCTCGCTAATGCACATTTTTTTCAGAACATGGAGAGGGCGGTTCTTTCCTGAAATCCAGAAACATCCTCCACCATACTTTTAGGTTGGAATGTGCACGTGATTTGTTGTGGACAAACAATTTGATTGGACCCTTGTGGACGTAAAAGACGTTTTTTGGTTGAGATGGCTCTGTTCTGTCAAATGTGAAACTACAGGTTGGATGTTTTTCTGTATTTCCAGCACCACCCGGCTCATTTGCCTTTACAGGCGTGATTAGATGTGTCTTCAGCCAGGCCACACGAGGGCGTGATGTCCCATAGTAGCTTCGTTGTACCAAGTGAATCGACTGATAGGGAACTTAATGTAACTCAAGGAACGTACTGAAAAATCTTGTTTTTTTTAAATATTCTAATACTGCAGGGTTAGAATAAATCTCAATGGGATGTTTTCCAACTATGTGAACCTCTAATTTATTCCCTCTTCCACTCTACAGATGGGGGTGTGTTACAAAAATTCAACACGGAGGCCTCACCTTGTCGTTTCTTTCACAAAGGAACTTCAGTCTCTGGGCTCTCTTATGCATGAAGACGCCGTCCAGATGGCCAGTCTCCACCGAGCGGATCTCTATGGCCTTCTCCCCCCACCCCATGATCTGGTTGGAGCGGATGTAGGCTGGACAGAGGCAAACATTTTAATATCTGTGGAAATTGTTCATTAAAAGATTTAAAGGTGATAGGTAGAGGGGCATTAGGTTTTTATGAAGCTTCTGCCTGAAAGACTCACCCACGGAGGTGGGCATCTCCCCCCACTGCAGCACCACATCTTTGGTGATGCGCCCATAGGTGTTGACATAAACGCCCTCGTCCTCGTAGCACACCAGCAGCTCAATCCCATCAGTGTTGGGCAGGATGATGATGGCGTGGGGCTGGATGTGGGTCTGGATCTGGAAACACAAGTTCAAACAGCAACTGTATCAAGTCAGTTTTTTACACTTCAAAAAGTGAGACTCTGACTAGGGATGAGCCGACGAGTATCCGGTCCGGGTAAAGCGTTTTTGACGAGTACGAGCATGACACGAGTAAACCTCGTAAATATCTGTAATCGTGCTGAAGGAAAATCCTCATTGGGTAACTGACTGTCTTCACGCTCTGTGACTGGCCACTCACATAGAGCGCCCGTCCCTCCCTACACACAAAACTCTCTAGCCGGCCGGGAGCACAGTCTGTCTGTCCGGCTCATCCACGCACACACACAGACAGTAACGGATCTCACTGTGATCGCTTCACTGTTACTCACGTTTCTTCAGTTTTCCCTAGGTTTTCTTCAGCTCGCCTCTTTTTCAGTTGGAAATCCTATTCAAAATTCTGCTATATACATTCAAAGCCATCCATAACCTAGCTCCCCCGTACCTCTCAGACCTCCTTCATCCCTCAACCTCCACCTGTTCCCTCAGGTCCTCCTCCTCCATCCACCTCTCTGTCCCACCTCTCTGTCTGGTCACTATGGGGAGCACGGCCTTCAGTTGCTCTGCTCCCCAGGTCTGGAACTCACTCCCTCCTGACCTCCGTAACATTGACTCCCTCACTCTCTTTAAAACCAGACTCAAAACCCACCTGTTCCGTCTAGCATTCCAATAATTACTCTCTTTGCTCCAATCTGTCTGTTTGTTTTATGCAGTTCTGTCTTTTAATGTTGTGTACTCTGTCTGTAAAGTGTCCTTGAGTGTTTAGAAAGGAGCTGTTAAAATAAAATGTATTATTATGTAGTTTTGAACCCAAGCTGAGGTAAAATACTAAGGCCATGGCAGAATGACAGGGTTTGGTTTTGTTGAGATGTATTTAAATTTAGGGCTTTTACAGCCTAGTGTGTGTGTGTGTGTGTGTGTGTGTGTGTGTGCTGCACACAGAAGCAGGGGCTTTCTACTGATCAGTTACTAGTTCCTCCAGTTGAACAGGTGATGCTTACCTACGTGTTTCATGTCAGCCAGAATGAAGGTGAAGGTACTGTGGTCTTACGTGTGTGGGAAGGTAGATGTCGTAGACTGCCCCAGAGTCAACATCGACGGCATGAAAGCCAGAGCATGAACCATAGATGACCTTTAACCTTTGGCCCTCCTCCACAGTCAGGTCAACCAGCAGGGGCTTGTGTACCAAGTCACCGAAAGACTGTTTTAAAAAACATTTGGTGACTTATTAGACAGCTCTGTAGTCAGTCAGCAAAACCGTCACATACATAACTTATGACATATTTGGTAGTTATTTATTTATTAACTGCTATTTTATTTACTATAATGGTCATTTACCTTGAAGGCCATGAACTTGTGGTAAGGTTTGGGAGCCCAAGCGTAGACCTCCACTGAGTTTTTCAGAGCCAGAACCAAGAACTTAATCCTTTCATATTTCACTAGGAGGAAAAAGCACAGCTGTGATCAGGGTTGGGAGCTTTTTCTGGCCACATCTGGTCCAGAGGAATCAGATCACTGGATGGCAGAGTCCCCTCGCTCTTAAAATAATCAGAGTCGTCACATCAGGAACCTGTCTGATGTAGTGTGGGAACTGGGACATAACTTTGGAAAGGGCTGGCAAACAAACAGAAACCTATCTAAGACCCTTCTGTGACCAACAATGTGCACAACTGTGCACCAAGGGGATGCAGACATAAAACGTCTTTTCACAAAAGTGGTGTATGCCTCAGTTTATCTGTTCCATCTGACCGTTTGTATGTTTCCACTAACTTTGCGTTTCTAAAGGCTGTAGCCCAGTGAGACAGTGGCTGAGGAGGTTCGTTCAGATACTCTCAGATCTCCAGATTATGAGAATTATCTTTGGTGTGTTCTTGCTGTGTTGAGTTTCAAATTCCATCTTTCAGTTCTTTTTAAAACACAGAAAAGGTTTATTTACCTGCAAAGTTTCGTTTGCAGCTACAAACATCATCAGGCTGACGCTGATGGTGGCGTCACTTCCTTCGTTTATCCGCGGGCAGCAGACGTCGCCCTCTGCTGCCCGCTCTCCCCTCTCCGACGATGCTGTCCCGTGTGGAATCCAACAAGTAAACTCCATCATCCCTGTTCATGGTCCCACATCCACGTCTCCTTATCTCGATAGCTTCTTTTATCCATCTTTTGTATTTCTGTTGTTTGGTGTTTATGATCCTTGTGTTGTCCCAGTCCATTACATGGTTTTCTCTTATGCAGTGATCTGTTATGACTGATTTCTTTATTGTACTTTCTGTTTCTTCTTTTGCTGCTCTTGTGTGTTTTAGACTTGCCTCTTTCTCGCACTCCTTTCTATGTTCTATTGTTCGTGTGTTGAGTTGGCGTCCGGTTTCTCCTATGTATGTTTTATTGCAGAGTTTGCATGGGATTTCGTAAATGACTCCACATTTAAGTCCAGCTGGTATCTTGTCTTTTGGGTGCACTAGTCTGTTTCTAACTGTTGTGTATGGTTTTGTTGGTGTTATTATGTTGTGTTTTTTCATTGTTGCTCTTATTTTTTCTGTTATGTCTTTGATGTATGGTAGGGTTATTACTGGTTTTGGTTCTTGTCTTTCAGGGTTTCTGGTTCGTTGCTTTGGTTGTTTGTTTTCTTTCTGTTGTTGTTTGTTGTTTTCCTTTGTTTATTGCCCATGTCAGGTATCCGCAGGTTTTTAAAGCATGTTGTATGTGTTTGTCCTCTTGTTTACAGTCTCTTTCTTCTGTTACCATGTTTGCTCGGTGATATAATGTTCTGATTACTGACATTTTGTGTATGGTGGGGTGTTCTGATGTCCATAATAGATATTGGTCTGTGTGTGTTGGTTTCCTATATGTGTTTATGTTTAGGGTCCCGTCGGTCTGCCTGGTTATTTTCATGTCCATAAATGCTATGCTGCCTTCTGTTTCTGACTCATAAGTGAACTTTATGTTGCCTGTGTCGTCAATGTTATTCAAGTGTTGTGTTAGTGTTTCTGTTTGTCCTTTTGGTATGATTTCCAGTATGACGTCTACGTAGCGTTTCCACAATTTTATTTTGCAGTTTGGGGGGGCGGTGGCTATGGTTTTTTGCTCCAGGTCTTCCATGAAGAACTCACACAGGGTGGCTGATAACGGCTTACCCATGGTGAAGCCTTCCAGTTGTTTGTGTATTGTGTTGTCATATGTGAAGTAAGTGTTTAAGAGCAACAATGAAAAAACACAACATAATAACACCAACAAAACCATACACAACAGTTAGAAACAGACTAGTACACCCAAAAGACAAGATACCAGCTGGACTTAAATGTGGAGTCATTTACGAAATCCCATGCAAACTCTGCAATAAAACATACATAGAACCCGGACGCCAACTCAACACACGAACAATAGAACATAGAAAGGAGTGCGAGAAAGAGGCAAGTCAAAAACACACAAGAGCAGCAAAAGAAGAAGCAGAAAGTACTATAAAGAAATCAGTCGTAACAGATCACTGCATAAGAGAAAACCATGTAATGGACGGGGACAACACAAGGATCATAAACACCAAACAACAAAAATACAAAAGATGGATAAAAGAAGCTATCGAGATAAGGAGACGTGGATGTGGGACCATGAACAGGGACGATGGAGTTTACACGTTGGACCGCACACGGGACTGCATCGTCGGAGAGGGGAGAGCGGGCAGCAGAGGGCGACAACATCCTCTGCTGCTTGCGGATAAACGAAGGAAGTGACGCCACCATCAGCGTCAGTCTGATGATGCTTGCAGCCACAAACAAAACGTTGCAGGTAAATAAAACCTTTCTGTGTTTTAAAAAGAACTGAAAGATGGAATTATGAGAATTATTTCAGAGGTGAAGAAACCTTTTATAATCAGATTTTTTATTTATCTGCACTGCTGATGAGGTGAGAAAAATGCTGAATAAAACATGATTTTATGGGAACGCTAGTGACTTTAAGAGTATTAAGTTGGTATAAAGGAATTAAAGAAAAACAACTAATCGTATCTTACTATTATTGGATCTTTACATTCCTTCAGCAAACATTTAATTAAATTACAATTAAATAAATGATATCAGCTAATGAAGTTTTAGATGGGCCTGAACATTTTAACTTAATACTTTTGTTAGGGTTTTTCTGTCACTGAATGAAAACTTTGAGACTGCTGCCAAAAGTGATCAAGAAGTTGATGAGCATGCATGAATTCAGTTCCTCCAACAGAAGCAAATGTCTTCACATCTCTAGTCAGAACAGTGGGGTTTCCACCAGGAAGTGCCCGTCTTTGCTGTGTCACTAAAATCACCAAGGACATTCTGCATTTTAGACAGGTCTCTGGATGCTCTTGCTGAATAATTACCTAACTGAGGGTTTTCCTTCCATAGCATCCTGAAGCCATACATGTAAGAGTTTACATGAAAGGAGATCCCATCTTTTATCCACGTGTGGCTGATTTCATATCTGACGAGATTTGGGAAATTCAAATGCAACAAATATTCCTGTGCTCAGAAGATACTAGGAGATTTGTGTGTTGCTTTATGAAATGCAGCATTTTCAGTGACTAATCCATTTATTAAACAAAAGAATGGTTGCTTGAGTGAGCTTCCAGCCCCTGACCAAAACAGGGATCTACACAAACACTGGTGTTTTCCTTTAAATTCATACGGAAACTCCCAAAAGAGAATAGGTAACAGAGCAGATTACCCTGGATGAGCAAAATCAGAAACTGCATTTGCAAAAAACACTCAGTGTTTTGGTAAATGTGGGCCTACGTTTGCATCTGAGTTAAAACATCAGCATGGTCTGAGTCACCAGGAGGCACAAATGCATCAACACATTTATAATATTTTATGGACATCAAACAATTCAATCCTAAATCATTCCAGAGCCTCGTTTAAATTTACCCACCAACTTTGTAGTGGACGCAGCCTTCTAGATCTCCTACTGTGGTCCAGCCTTGTTTCTTCTCCACCTCCGGGTCGTTGTGGAGGATCTTATTCCTCAGCCAGGACAGGTAGTACACACGCAGCTTGTTCTTTTTACCTGGCAAAGAGGAGATTTTATTACCTGCGATGTCCTTAAAATCAGATGCACTAAGAAATAATAATAAAAGTTGGGTAAATCCAGTCCTCCTCTGTCTTTGGTCTTCTGAAGCGTTTTTAAGCTAATTCGTGGAGGTTTATCCTGCCAAAGGAATTTAGTAATTGAGGAGTCCAGAGATTTAAACCAGTCAGCTGGTGGCTTGTTTGGGATCATCGAAAATAAGTAATTTATTCTGGGTAAGACCATCATTTTAACTGTAGCAACTCTCCCCATGAGTGATATTGGTAAGGATTTCCATCTTGCAAGATCATCTTCCACTTTCTTTAAAAGTGGGATGTAGTTTAGTTTGGTTAGATCTGCTAACTTGGGAGAGACATTAATTCCCAGGTATGTGATATTCCCTGACTCCAATTGTGTATTAAGCAAATTGACAAAAGAGAAATTAATTGGTAGAACTGTGGATTTTAACCAGTTTATAGAGTAATCTGAAACTTTTGAAAAAGAGTTTATCAGTTCTATTGAATGAGAGAGAGACGATTGAGAATTCTGGAGAAAGAGTAAAACATCATCTGCATAAAGACTGATCTTATGTTCTATTATCCTACACTTTATCCCTTTAATACCCTAATTGCTGCTGCTAGTGGTTCGATAAAGATAGCAAATAGTGAGGGGGAGAATGGGCATCCCTGCCTGGTCCCCCTCTGAAGACAGAAGCTAGCTGATATTTGGTCGTTCGTCCTGACACGTGCTGTTGGTGAACTGTATAATGTTTGTAGCCAGTTTATGAAGAAGTTCCCCAAATCAAATTTATGTAAAGTTGCAAATAATAACTTCCAGTTAACTCTATCAAAAGCCATTTCTGCATCTAGAAATAATATACTAGTTTCTATGTTTCTACTGTAAGAGAAATCTATCAAATTAAGTAAGTAATCTACGTGAGTTAGTGGATGACTGTACCCTTACAACTTAGAGCTGAAAGAAGCTGTTAACTAATCCTGTTAACCCTGTTGTTGCCTTTGTGCAAAAGGAAAACATGCAGAACCTTGGAAAATGGCTTATTACGTCTAAAAAAAACCACTTGTTTTCTATTTGTGGTCATTTTGTCTAGACCAGATTTGTGCTGTAATATAGTGGTGACGGCACCAGAAACAACCTGGGGCTGCAATAATAGACTTCATTTCTGCTATAATGATGGAAAATGACAATTGGCTTCATTCTCTTCATCTTTCATCATCCAGCAGATGGCTCAAGTTGATGAAATAATGAACATAAAACACTGACTTGAGCTCAGTGACCAGTTTCACGACACATGGGTTGGCCATGACAGGGCTCAGACTGCTATGAAACGCTGGGATTTGTAGGAAAAATACGCAACTCACAGCAGCCCCAGTTATCAGTAAAAAAAGAGGGTTAGGGTTATGGAAAAAATTATTTCTGGAACCACCTAACATAACAAACAGACCAATGAACCACTGATAATGTTCATTTTCTAGCAAGATTCTCAGTTATTTAACTTTTCTGCAGCTTCGTTTCACACAAAATACACAGTCAACATGAATCAGGAATAATCAGAGCATCTTCCTGCATTTTGTGTTTTTAATCGCCAATCATTTGTCTTACACACACACACACGCGCGCACACACACACACACGCAAGAACGCCCAGTGTAACATACAGAGAATTATCCAGCATGCGTATTTTTACATGTCGGCAATGTGTGTGAGTTCCATGGAAGGAAGTTGACAAGTGTGCAACTCTAGCATTTCACGTCCATCATGGAAAGCTCAGGTATTACAAACCATTTGCACACAACGCGGCCTTACCCAGCACCGCTTTACACAACATCCGCTTCACTTTAAATATATGTTGTGACACTTATGACAGAGCTGCTGGTGTGTGGGAGAGATTGGGAAAGACGAGAAGCAACAATGTGGAGGCACTTTCAATCTGAGAAGATATGATTTAAAATAGTCTGGATTGTGTTAATGACGACACAAGGGTCGGTCTGCTCGACCGCCTTGACTAAACTGTCTGAATGCACGACCATGTTTGAATGTGTATATGGGTGTACGTACATGCACATGTGTGTGTGCATACCTGAAATAGTGACAAGGACGTTGAGTCCCTCCAAGACGTCCATCTGCTGGAAGCGTCGTCGATTGATCAGAGGGTAAACTTTACCCTGACCACTGCGGTCCAACAGCATGAGACCACTTTCTGTTCCCACTAATAGATTCACTCCTACACACACACACACACACACACACACACACACACACACACACACACACACACAGAGAGAGAGAGAGAGAGAGAG